TTCGGGTTGAAGAGGTAGCCGGTAAATGCGGCGGAACGGAGAAAGCCGCATTATTTACGCCCGCTGGCGGCTGGCTGGCGGTGACAAGTTTAAAAAGCCGCGGGAAGTAATAACCGAGGTGTCCGCGGATTAAAAGGCGTGACACTGCTAGTTCCAGCGATCACTCTTCCCCGCAACGATGTAATTAAATCCTACAACATACGTATGTACGTTTGTCTACTCTTTACGACCACTCCGACCGGCGTCTCTGCTCTCCGCTGCTGGTTGCGTCATGTGTATAATGTTATGCTAACGGCTATGATCGGGCCGCGACAATCGAGCCTCGAAACCAACAGTTACTGAACGTTTAAGTCCTAGACGTGCGAAATTCACGTGGTGTCCCTCTTAACGGGACTTTTCGCGAGTCCAAAACGCAAATTTTCTGATGTATACACGCTTTAGCCTCGAGGCTACAATATAAGCATTGTATAGACTATTATATTAGCTGTCGTAAACATGTTCCAGTCTGAATGATGCTTGTCTCGAAGTTGAATCACCGGTAATTAAAGCGTAAATTGAAACAGCTCTATATAACCGATAACTAATTTGAAAGTTTCGAACGAACTGGAGAACGTTATAAATCGAAAACATTTCGTAAGTTCGCTGAACTATTACAGCTATATTAATAATTAATCTTTTATATTTTAATTGTGATTTATAAACGTACAGTTTTCGATTAAAAAGATTGTCATTAAACAATATCTTTATTTTAGACCGTATATGTGAGAAACACAATCAATACTAGAAATTTAAAATGCCTATTATGGTCGAAGCTGGATCTTCGTTGCTTAAATAATTCAATCTTAAATTACTAATGTATACTATATATGTACTTGCATATATACCATATTGTGGGTCTTTTTCAAACTGCGCGCCAAATTATTTTTTCGGACTAAATAAACGCAGTTAAAACTACTCTAGTAATCGCGAATTAAATTGACAAGCAATTTAATAATTTGATGCTACCATCAAGCATCATATATTATAAAGATGTTAATATGTTAAAAACTGTTAATAAATTTATTGCGAAAAATATTACCTCGGCCGGGACTTGAACCCGGATCTCTTGTATTCCGTACGAGCGTCCTAAGCCATTAGACCACCGAGGCCTTAATTGTCATTAAAGTAATAAAGAAAATACTCATGAATATAATCACGAATATATGAATTGAGGTTGGAAAATGAAAGAGAGAACTAAGATAGTAAGATACAGAGTATTGAGAGAGGTATATATCATCTTTTAAAATTGGTCTATTTCGAAATTACTATCTCTCTTGCATTTCTTGGAGGATTTGTAGGAAATTCCTCGCAAATAAATGGGAAAAAAGGAAAAAAAAACGCTCACGGAGGAAACGAGCGCGCGGTCCCTCGTTAGCGAATCGCGACTTAATGTCTCACTTGGCGAGCGAAAGCATTGATAGCAGCGCAATTAGACGCGTAAATTGTACGCGTCTACTCGTCGTTGCTCGTTGGACGCGCGCAGCGAGGCGGGCCTATCTGTCCATAAAATGACAATGTACTCCGATGCGAGAGGGCATAGTTACGTACACGGTAAAACGTTTAGATCCGCGCCGTAAGATAACCTTCGTCGTAGCTTACCGAGCGCGTCGCCGGTTGGTTCTCTCTCGCTCTCTTTCTCTCTCTCTTTTTCACTTGCGGCTATTCCCGCGTGCCCGATGTACGCCCGCGTACGGATGTGGCTATACGCACCGTGCGCTCGTTCCTCCAGTGCGTACACACACTGGAATACGCATCCGCGAAACGCTGTTCCTGCGGCGTGCTAGGCGCAGCGACGACTTCGCCCCGCTGGGTATAATACTCTAGACGGAAACAGATGGCAAGGATATTTTATCATTCTCACTCAGGCGCTGCAATGAGAAAAAGATGCCTAAAAAATTATTTTTGAGAAATATATTTATTTCACTGAAATAAATATTTGTTTAAATACGGGCGAAAAATATAATTTTATTTCTAGCAAATAAGTCATCTATTTTATTTATTTTTTTGTGCAATTAATGAGATATATTTCACAAAACTGTATATTTCGTCATGACAATCAAATTTCGTAAGTAACATTTGCTTTGCGATACTTCGACATTTTTCTCTCAGTGTGAAATATATGTAGAATTTTGTTGAAAAGGATAAAACGCGTACATTTTTAAGTATGTGAGAACTTGGCGTTTAAAACCGCAAAGGTGTATATCTAATCGCATGGTAAACGTTTGATAAATTAAAAATACGTTGGTAATGCAATAATACGGGTATAATCTTGCGTCTTCGGCGATTGTCACATCCGACTAGACGCAACATCGAACGGTCGAATGGCAATGCAGGACGAGACCTGAAAAATGATCGTTGCTTTAACGACTCATTTCCCTTCGCGCCGCGATAAAACGGCTCGCTTTCATCGGGCATGTACCTCACGTGCAACGTCCTCGGCGCCGTCGTTTCCTGTTTCCTTCCTTATCTCCGCCGGCAGAAACAGGAAAATCCACGAAAGCCCATACGTTATCTGCCACGTACGGTCAGGGTTCGCACACAGTACCTACGAGAGACGAGATATCAGCCGCAATGCACACCGCAACACATACAATCCGCCCGTTGCGGAAACGCCGAATGAATTATTTCGCAGCTGCGCACGATCGCCAGAATTATTTCGCTTGTAGAGATTCATTGTCGTAGACTGGTGCATCCTCCGGAGAGATCTCAGGCTACGTTTTTAAAGAAATTTATATAAGGGAAACTATTCTAATAAAATCATAATTCTAAAATATCTGATTAAATTATATTTTTTGTTGTTTATCTATAATTAAATCGGAATTTTTTTGGAAAAAAAATTAATATTACACTTATGTGTAATTTTTTATAATATTTGAAATCAATCATCAGATTTTAAATTAAAATTCTTATTTTTTATAATATTTGAAATCAATCATCAGATTTTAAATTAAAATTCTTCTACAAACACAATTGAAATTTAAATTTAAAATTTTGCAAGGTAACAGTTTTTATAAGGAAATCTCGCAAAGTCAAATTCCTATTTTAATCAAACTTTGTATACATAAAGGTTACATAAATTAATGAATTTAGAAAATACTAGTTGCTGTCAATAAATGGTTTAAAAAAATGTAATTATTATCTAAAGCAGTTTTTTTAATCTGTTTTCATTATATCTCAAAAACATTCAAGATATAAAAAAATGTTTATAACAGTCTTGTAATAGAATTATTTATGTCAATAATATTTTTTAAAATTTATTTTAAAAACATAAATTTTAAAAATAATTTATTTTTCTTAATTCATTAAAATTAGAATTTTGCGAAGTTTCTTTATTCTTAAAATTTTAGTCTTAAAATTCTGCAAGTTAAGGTTTATTTGAAAAATTAAATAGAGATTTTTTGTATTTATTTTTATTTAACACTTAACACAATTTTTCATTTCCAGTTGCTTTGAAGCTATATCTTGACAATATTCGTTATAGAAATTCATATTTGTTAAGGAAAAAAATGACATTAAGTCAAATAACACGTCTACTTTAGAATCATTTTGTACATCAATATTACAGACTATGGAGGATATTACAGTAATATGCCACAGGCAATACGTTTCCAGAAGTTTAACGTAACGGCGAGACCGACCGTCATGATATTCTCATGATATTCGACTTATCGACTCTCTTCATCTTGTGCGATTATAAAGTAGCTGCTCCATATAACGCAACGTAATGGGTTAATCAAGTTTCGCTCAGAGGCCTTGCTTCCGACTGATGTACGATGTCATTACGCTCATAAATCTTCAAGTCTCGCGAAAGAGAGAGAGAGAGAGAGAGAAAGAGAGGATAGAGAGCGAGAGAGATAGAGAGGGAGGAAAAGAGGGATCAGGTGTGACGAAAACAATGTTTTCTTCACCGTGTTATCCATCGTGCGGGGAATTTTAATTCACGTTAACGTGACAAAATGGTCGTGTAAAAGACTCTTGTCGCGCTGATGCCTCGGCCAAACTGATGAGATGGCAGTGCGTTTACGTGCTAGATACGACGCCAGATCCGGCCGTGCTCATCCTGCAAACTAAGAAATTATTCAAATTAGCTATGCAGGATTCAAAGCGAGTCGTCTAAGCAACAACTGAAGGGTTGCTCCGTTCTTCGTTTTTCTGCACAGCCTCCGTTTTCGCGATGCAGCGCGTACATCTGTTTGCGCGACGCGACGCTTTTCCATCTCCCTATGTCAATCGCATGTCAATCGACGTTTTTCTCCGAGAAAAAAGTGCGATGTTCTGTTCACACGCGACGAATGCGAAATGCAGTCATGGATGGATTGCGTGAGCCACATGCCTGATTTGATTTTCTTCTTTTACGGATGATTTACGTTTGAGATTAATCTTTGGAACAGTTGCTAGATTCTGAGTTATTTATGATTATTTATGCACATATAAAAATGTGAATAAACTATTAAAGTCCGGATTTGGTTAATTTACTGTTATTACCGAGGTTATTACCAAACTACGCGAGCAGATGTGGCAAGCAAAATATTGCATGCTGAATACTGATGCAAAGTCGCTAATAAAAGTGCTGAATAAAAAATTATTATGCAAATTTTATCCGCTTGATTTTTCAAGAAATCCTTAATTGCAGTGCAAGCGTAAATGATATATTTTATTCTTGTTTAATTCGACGAACAAGGATAAAATGATCCATCATACGCTTTACGGAACGCAGCTTCTGATAGAATCATTATGCCTGAAATTGCGTTTGCCCCATGTATTAATGCGTATCGGATACATTAATTACGTAATTTCCGCCGTACTTTGTTGTTATATATTTTTAACTTTGCGTTTTGCTCCTCACATGATAATATGTTGCGCAAAACACGAGGTGTGAATTGCCGAGATAATTGCTTAATCGATAGTCGCATGTCGCATCAATATTATCGTCACACGTGTATTTTTGTTTGTTCTTTCAGTTGCAGAACCGAGCCCCGCTGGTGCCCAAAGTCAACAAGTGAGTAGAACGTGTATCGAGCGTGAGCACCTCTCGTTCGCGCATATTATAATTACAAACTCGCGGAGAGAGCAGTTTCGCAGTTAATGCTCGTTTCACGTGAGATTTATGCGTCTCTCGCGTTCGGCTCCGCACGCGTATACGCGGGCATGCATAAAATGGTGCGTGTGCGCGAGCGCGCACGTAACTCCGCCGGCCAAGGTGATTCTTAATTAGATTCTAAATTACGCGGCAAAACGAGACGAAAACGCTTAAATCGTGCCTTCGGGTAAAGCCTGCACTTTCGAGAGGCGTGTTTCCGCGGAAATGAATGCCGTTGCGCACGTTCTGGAACGATTGATTGATCGAGTCGCTCGTGACGAAGCCGCTGGGGAAAAGAAAGCGTACGCGTTCCGTAATGCGCGGCTTCCGGTGATTTTTCTACCGTAACGTACGCATGCGACGATTACGGATTTCGATAATAATTGGGACAAATGGGGAGATGGTAAATTGATGTATATGCAAGAGGTATCATGTAGAAATTACAAGCGGGATGCTAATCACGATGGTATATATAGGGTGCTACGCTCCCTTAATAGTCACGCAATCTCGTATGACGAAGAAGGCATGGATAAAGAAAAAAGTTATAAAGAAAGAAGATTTAGAATGAGAGAGAAAATCTAGATTATTTCAAACTTATACATTATTTATCTGCTAGTACTTCCAGTATGCATATTTTTCTTTTAGTAAATTGAATCTCTGACTAGGGCGATAATATGAAGCAAGTGTAAAAAGAGGATTAGTAATCGAAAAATTAATTCTCCGCTAGCAATGTTGGACTTTATAGTCGATTTTTTTAAATTATCTATTCTGGTAAATTTAAATCTATAAAAAAAATAATAAAATATAATCCAATTTTTGATAGTAAAAACTTGTTGAAACTCTTACAAGTAGGTATGTAAGAATTTGTTATATGCAGCTCAGGACAATATAAAAATCTGCACTGAAGTTTGAGAATTCAGATTGCAGTTGAAGAATGAAAAGGGGGATGTTAAAGTTTTTACTTCAGCCAAAAAAGGGCTCATTTTTGCTCAAAAAGGAGTAAATAAACGAAATGATTTTAATAGATTTTATTGAAAATTATGCTACTATTGGAGTATAAACATATAAAGCTCACGGTACCGTAGAATGTCGGACGGGAGTCGGTCGCGTTCAAAGGGCCTGGCATAATTGAGAGATCACGCCAATTAGGTGCGCCTTTAACGGTTTAACTGTCAGACGGAAGTCGATAGATCCTCAGGCTCTGTATTTGCATTCTGATTATAAACTTGCACAAAGCTAAAGCGTCATCATATCTCGTTACGTCCCCCGTAATTCCTCGTCGCTTTGCACCCGTATTACCGGTGATAAGGTAAAAAAACATAAACGAAAATTATAATTCACTTGGAAAATCGTCGTCTCAATTTGCGCGAAGCTCTTTTTGCCGCTGTACGATTTCATTAATTTCAAACCTCGCCTTGTCGTTTATCCGCCGATTTACATTTTTTAATTTCTATTTTTATTATAAACGAGTGTAATGGTGCGAGCGACGTTGGCGTGTCCGAGGAGGAACAGAGATATTTAAGACTTAAATGCTACACGCTCTCTTTCTTTCTTATTACACGAGACATTTAACGCGACCTTGTTAATTCTAATAACGCTTAGTGAAGTAGAAAAAACAGTGTTTAATAACTTGTGTGTGTTTTAGAGAGTTTTAAGATATATTTTATATACATATATATATTATATATCAATATTTCGTGCATATATATCTCGTTACGTCCCCTGTAATCTCTTGTCGCTTTGCGCCCATGTTACCGTAGATAAGATAGAAAAACATAAACGAATCATAATTCACTTGGGAAGTCGTTGCCTTCAATTTGTGCGAAGCTTTTTGCCGCTGCACGATTTTATTGATTTCAAATCTCGCTTTCTCGTTTACCCATCAGTTTACATTTTTATTTTAATATACTTTATATATTTAAAATAAAACAGAAATTCAATATCGTAAGAAATAAAAATATTAAGTATAGTATTTGTAAAGTCGCCATATTTTAAAACGAATATAAACTTAAAATAGACTCGAAGAATGCACGACAAATTTAAATTTCAAAAGCCTAATCTTACACAAGTACGTCTTACGACAGTAACATTTATTCAGATATCTATAGATATTACATATATATAGATATATATGTAGAGGAAAGACCCTATTATGAGATAGGCCCCTAATATGAGATAGCGGCGTTTCTGCTAAACTAATAAACGCTATCTATTGGTTCCACCATGAATTTATTGCTCTTGGATTGAAAGCTATTTAATAGAAAATTCATTATTAGATCATGCCTGTAGTCATTATTAAAAAAGATTTTAGAATTTGGATGTCTTCAAGTTTCATTGAGATGAGCCTTTAAATCTTATTTATTATTTAATAAATATTTGGCAATAAATTCTTCATGTAGTGATCGGGGAATCTTATATATTAGCAGCACAATTTTTTGACTTTGTGATTTGCTCACTTTTTACATTTCTTTAATTAAAAAAAAAATGGAATTTTTGTATTAAATTTTATATAACGTTATCTTAAAGCTTATTAAATTCCCTTCAAAATGACTTATTATTTTTTAAAATTCTGCCCATAGACTTCTAGCATTTATCCAAAATGAACTCGGTATCTCATAATAGGGGCTTTTCCTCTATAATTAATATGACAAGTAAAGATTATTAGATTATGTGAGCTATGAAAAGATAATTTATTGAAGAGTGATAAATACTCTTACTCATATGCAGGTGTTATAAGGTCTGTTTTTTTATTCCTGCACTCTCTGAACTGGTGTACATGGTGCAATAAGATAAAGTGAAATAAATATAAGTACGTTTGTTTCATTTTAACTTATTGCACTATATGCACCAGTTCAAAGAGTGCAGGAATAAAAAACAGATTGATAGTTTAACGGCATAGCAACTAAGTTCTTTCGTTCTAAAAAACGTAATGTCTAAAGAAAGAAAATATTTTTGTCAAGTACAAAACCTTGATAAATTCCTCATTTTACATTAATTAATTGCACATTAATATTAATACATTAATTTTATCGAATTCTAATGCAAACGAGCAAGCATTCATCCTTATTTGCATACCATCATGTTAATGAAAATATTATTCGGTATTGACATCAGCATCTTGACGCGTTGTACGGATTAAAAATATGAAGCCACTGAACTCATCGTTATGAAGAAATACCGGTGTCACAGCATTGCTGAATGTAAATATAATAAAATCAAATCAATCATACGGCAATTAACTAGTCTCATATCGAGATTCAAGTTTTTACACTCACTTTTATTTCTTTAAATTATAAAATAAGAAAGAAGTAAAAAATATTCCGTGAATGAAACGCATTAGCTTATCATGATATGAATTTGAATGAAACTTTGTTTTCATAAGATTATTAATATAAAATATGACAATAATGATTTATGAATATCGCAAAAAGTTATAAAATAAAACTTATAAAATAGTTATATATATATATTTTTTTTTTTATTTTCAAATATTGTTTTACTCACTTTTATATAATATTTGTACAATATATTTAATTTAATTTAATTGTATAAGTTATACGTAATAATTATACATATACGTGTTTTTGAGCAATCGTCGTAAATTCGCAAACATGTCACGTGCGCATTTTAAACTTCAAAGTTATATTATTAGCATGAATTTAATATGTATACCCACGCAAAAGCGATCATGATATTTTAATCTTCGGTTTAACATCATGAATCCTGCTATCACAGATTTGCTGTAGCTCATCTTGTACCCTTCTATACTTTATTTGATTTACAGGACGCGTCTCGTCATAACTCAAATATATCGCGGCGTGTATAGCCAATATTACAAGGCATAGCTAAAAGAGGGAGGTTCGAAAGGAGTGGACGTTGTCATGAAATAATATTAATTATCGGCGCGACGTTATGACGAGCCAAGGCGAGCTGGCTGTTCTTCCTTAGAAATTCCGGTCCACGTCTTAAGGGAGAGTATCCCGTCTGCAGGATCCGCATTTCCATTCCGATTACAAGCTGCTAGGAACGTATAGTGTTGTACCCTTGCTATTACTCAGGTTCCCTCGTATTATTGCTTCTGATGAGCGGGTCTTTTTCCTAACTCTCTCTCCCTCTCCCTCTCTCTCTCTCTCTCTCTCTCTCTTTCCTTCTCTTTCCCTTGTTCTCGTATCACGCTCCGTCTCCGTCCGTCGTTGTTTCTGATTTCTTCATGGGATTCCTGCGGTTCTACCGCGAACCGCGTGGAAAAAGGCAGGATGTGCGCGGGATATTTCGACCTTGCGCGATTCCCGCGTATGAGCCATACGTGGCTCGTCCTTTTTTCTTTCTCCCGTAGTATAGGATGACTCTGACGGGCGGACTCTGAAGCTACGGTTGAATTTTCTCGTGGCACGCAAGCGGCGAAACGAGCGGACGAGCCTCCTCGTTAGACTGACGCGCCGGAATATAACACTTTGAATACTTTCGCGAATTGATGACTTCATCGATTGCGAGAGATCCGCGTGCATTTTGATTATAATGATTATCCACGGCCCTCGTATAACGCAAAAGAGACACTACGTTATAACGCAAAGCAATTTTTTTCTTCTTTCTTGAGGTTAAACGTTGTCTAAATAATTTTAGAACATGCTGTTTTTCTTAATCCTCCACCAGCAGCTGAGATCTTTAAAGGCATCGTCGATATTTTAGTGGATAAATTTATATCTGTAAAAAATAAATAAAATACAATTCTATTCTTCTATCATGGTAAAAATTTATTGTTAAAGCTTTGATAATTGTACCAGAATTTTTTCAGATTTTTATACAGGGTAAACTCGGGTATGATGGCCATAGTTTTTTAAAATGCAAAAAACATACATTTATTCTTGTTACTTTTTAACAATATTTGGGATATTACTTTCACTGAAGCTTAACGTAAC